CTAACCCTTATACCATACCTATCCAAATACTGAGAGACACCAATTGGTTTACTGTATTAGATCTTAAGAATGTTTTCTTTTGTATTCCTTTGCACCCTGACTCTCAGTATTTGCTTTTGAGTGGACTAATCCTGAAACTAGTATTACCCAGAAGTACACCTGGACAGTACTGCCTCAGAGCTTTAGGAATAGGCCTTACTAGTTTGAAAATGACTTGGCATAAGTATTAAGGAAACTGGACCTAGAAAATGGAGCCATATTCCAATATGGGGATGACATCCTTGTATGCAGTCCCACTAAAGAGGACTCAGATAAGAATCCCATTCAAGTCCTAAATTTCCTGGGAGAAAGAGGGTATTGGGTTTCTCCATCCAAGGCCCAGATTTCCATACTGGAAGTAAAATATCTGGGGTACATCCCAAGCCTAGGAAACCAGATCTTGTCTGTTGAGTGAAAGGAGGCTGTCTTAAAGGGGTGACCTCCACAAATGAAGAAGCAACTCAGAACTTTTCTAGGTATGGCAGGATTATGCAGGATTTGGATCCCAGGATTTGGGTTCATTACTAAGCCATTATATGAGGCCCTAACAAGACCAGACCATGAACCACTCAAATGGTCAGGGAAATAACAAGAAGCTTTATCTTCTAGCTGAAGAAAGAGGGGTTTGCACAGAAATAAACCGTACCTGATGTTCTTATATTAGTAATTCAGGATTAATTGAACTGCAAGTTTGAAAGATTTACCTACAGGCTACCTGGCTACATCATTTCAATAACCCCACCACTCAAACCATCTGAGACTCTGTCAAAGGATACCTACCAAGTGTGATCTTGTTCCTCCATTTCCTGGGACCTTTAATAGCTACCTTATTACTGCTAATCTATGGTCCTTGCTTGTTTAGCCTCTTTGTAAAATTCGTGTCTTCTAGGTTGCAACAGTTCCATGTCGAAATATTGGTCATGCAAGGATTCCAACCAATCCCTGCCTCAGATTCACACTCTCCTGATGACTCACCCCTGGAATCCTTAGACCAGGCAGCTGGAGACTCCCATTCCCTTTCCAGGCAGGGCCAACACCCCTAATCAGCAGGAAGTAGATATAGAAGACTAACCTCCCTCATCAACACTTAAGAATAAGGAATGGTGTTTTACTCTGTTCTCATACTGCTACAAAGATACTACTGGAGACTGGGTAATTTATAAAGAAAGGACGTTTAACTGACTCACAGTTCTGCATGACTGGTGAGGCCTCAGGAAACTTACAATCATGGCAGAAGGTGAAGGCGAAGCAAGGCATGTCTTACATGGTGGTAGGCAAGAGAGACAGAGGCAGGGAACTGCCAAATACTTGTAACGCCATCAGATCTCATGAGAACTCCCCTCACTATCACAAGAACAGCATGGGAGAAACTGCCCCCATGATCCACCAGGTCTCTCCTTTAACACACGGAGCTTATAATTTGAGATGAGACTTGGGAGGGGACACAGAGCCAAACCATATCAGATGGAAATCTCTGTGAGGGGAAAATGAGACAAGAATAATATAAGGTGGCTGCAGAACAACAGAATAATCCAAGCAGGAGTTTCACATGACTAGCGAAAGGAAGCTGTCAAAGTAGCTGCATGTGCTAGGCGTTAAGACCCTGAAAAACCATAGTGTTGGCCAAGCTGGGTGAGACTGACTGGATTCGGCCAGGCGCAGTGGCTCAAGCCTGTAATCCCAGCACTTTGGGAGGCCGAGGCGGGCGGATCACAAGCTCAGGAGATCGAGACAATCCTGGCTAACACCGTGAAACCCCGTCTCTACTAAAAAAATACAAAAAACTAGCCGGGCATGGTGGCGGGCGCCTGTAGTCCCAGCTACTCGGGAGGCTGAGGCAGGAGAATGGCGTGAACCCAGGGGGTGGAGCTTGCAGTGAGCCCAGATCGCGCCACTGCACTCCAGCCTGGGGCACAGAGCAAGACTCCGTCTCAAAAAAAAAAAAGACTGACTGGACTCAACATAGTGCTAGATTTGATCTAGGTTTCACCTAGGACCTCATTATACACTCATTAACATACTAAATCACACACCCACCAGGGCCATGACACTTCCAGGAACACCCATATCTGGTGTAAAAATGTGTGGCACCATAGTGCTGAGAAATCTTCACTTTTTTCCAGGAATTTTCATGAATATTCCACCCATTGGTTAAAGAAACCCATAGGCCAGTTGCAGTGGCTCATGCCAGTAATCCCAGCACTTTGGGAGGCTGCAGCAGGCAGATCACTTGAGATCAGGAGTTTAAGACCAGCGTGGGCAACATGGTGAAACCTTGTCTCTAATTTTAAAAAAAAAAAAAAAGGAAGAAGAAAAGAAAGAAAACAACAAAAAAAGAAAGCCATAAAGGTAGAGGCCCCAAACCCTGTCGGGTGTAACTTTCTTGAATACATATGCACCCCCTTTTCTTGAGTGTGTACTTTTTGCTTTCAGTAAATCTCCATTCTTTCACTATTTTCCAACTTGTTCTTGAATTCTTTCTTACGACAGTGTCAAGAGCCTGAACACCAGCCAGGGTCAAGTTCCCACCAACATTTGGGACATCCCCTAGCCTGAGAGGAAAATTCAAAATTTAGTTTTGTATTTGTTAAATTTGTTTAATTTGACAGGTCTTTTAGACATCTAAAGGAAAATGATAGCAATGAGATTTTTTAGTCTAAAGCTCAGAGGAGGGGTCAAGGCTGGTAATATAAATTCTGGAGTTGTTAGCATAAAAAATGGTGTTTAATACCACTGTACTAGATAAAATCATCTAGAAAATGAATATAGAGCAAAGACAAGCTACAGAGTGAAATCAGTTTCCCTGGAAGCAGAGCTTGAGACAAGGACTAGAGGCACTTGATTTACTAAGAAGTCTCTCCTCAAGAAAAACTTGTAAGGCCACAAGGGAAACAAAATGAAAAAGGGGGAAATCTGAGTAACAATATGGTCTCAGATAAAATACAGCCTTCTCCTAATCCTTGGTTGGGGCATGGGTGGCTTAGAGCTTCTAAGAGCTAAGTTGACCCACCCCGAAGCAAGGAAGCTGGGCATTCATACTCTTGAAACAGTCATTGTCTGCAGTGGGGAGGAGTGGGGAATACACTTCCAGTCATTTCCTGGGAGGCGGCTCCTACTAGACAAGAACAATTCTCCAAAGGTCACAGGGATAAGCCTATAACTAGGGTACTTGTGGCAACTGGGAGATGAGTAAACCATCTGATTCAAGAGATCTGGTTAGAGCATCAATGTTGGTCAAAGTCAAAAATTTGTAATTCTGCATGATGAGGAAGAATCAGCAAAGGTAAAGGCAGTGAGAGGAAGAGGGAGTAATGCCCCAGAAACCATGTGGGAAAAGTATATCAAGGAAAAGATGCAAATAAAACATCAATCTAGGAATAAATGTAATTACAAATGTCAAAGTCTTTTTACATTGCACACTATAAAACATTATTGAATGAAATTAATGAAGACCTAAATAAATGAATGAACCTACTATGCTCCTAGTTCAGAAACTTAATTTTGTAAAGATTTCAATTTTCCTCAAATTGATCTATGAATTCAATGCAATCTCAATCAAAATCCCAGCAGGAGTGTGTGTGTGTAAATTGACAAACTTATTTTAAAATATATGGAACCACAAAGGGCTAAAAACAATAAAGAACATTTTGAAGGATTTACACAACCAGATAACATGATGTATTCTAAACTGTAGTAATTAAGAGAGTGTGGTATTGACCCATGGATAGCAAACTGACCAACAAACAAAATATAGAATACAGAAACAGACCCACCCATACAGGGTATATGATTTATGATAATGGCAACATTGTAATGCTCTTGTAAAAGCATGGTGTTTTCAATAAATGATGCTGGGCCAACTGGATATGCAAATGAGAAAAAATTAATCATGACTCCTATCCATACACAAAAATTATTTCCAGATGGATTGCACATCTAAATGTGAAAGGTAAAAGAATAAATCTTTTCAAAGAAAGGAGAATATTTATGCTTTTTGGGTAGACCAAATAGCTCAATAGGATTCAAACAGTTCTTAACATAACAAAAAAAAAAAAATTGGTAAGTTGGACTCTGTTAAAATTAAGAACTTCTGTTTACTAAGTGACATCATTAAGACAACAAAAAAGCAAGCCACAGAGTAGGAGAAGTTGTTTTCATTGTATATATCTAACAAAAAAAAAGAAAGTTTCAAGAGTATGTAAAGAGTTCCTGCAAGTCAGTAACGAAATGACAGGCAATTCAATAGATATGACAAAAGATTCAAAAAGACCCCTCACAAAACAAGACATCCAAATGGCCAATTGACATATAATAAGGAGTTTGACTTCATTATTCCTCAGGAAAATGCAACTGAAAACCACAAGGCAATCACTATATACCCACCAAAAGACATGCACAAGGATATTCACATCAGAACTACCCTTAATAGCTAAAAATTGGAAATAGCCCATCAACGGTACAATGGATAGACTGCAGTGTATGTGTGCAATGGAATTCTATACAGTTATGAGAATGAATGAACTACAACTATGCATAAAAACCTCATGAATATCACAAACATATTGTTGAATAAAAGCACAAACACAGATAGGAATACACTGAGTTATATTTATATAAAACTCAGAAACAGGGCTGGGCATGGTGGCTCACACCTGTAGTCCCAGCACTTTGGGAGGCCAAGGCAGTGGATCACTTGAAATCCAGGAGTTTGAGACCAGCCTGGGCAACACGGCAAAATCCCATCCCTAAAAAGAAAATACAAAAATTAGCCAGGTGTGGTGGCACATGTCTGTAGTACACACCATTCTGGAGGCTGAGGCAGGAGAATCATTTGAGTTTGGGAAATCGAGGCTGCAGTGAGCTGTGATTGCACCACAGCACTCCAGCCCAGGCAACAGAGCAAGACCCACTCATAACTAAATTAATTAATTTAATTAAATAACACTCAAAAACAGGCCAAACCAATCAGTAATGTTAAAAGTCAAGATAGTATTTACTCTTGGATTGGGGTAGTGACTGAAAGGGGACATGAAAGAACTTCTGGAGTTGGAAATAATTCTATTCCTTGACCTGTAGTCTGATCACAGGGACGTGGTCATTTGGTAGAATTTCATCAGCGAAGGCACATTTCCAAAGCTTGGAGGAGAGGCTGACCGGATGTCGTTCCCTTACACTGACGCAAAGCCTAGTGCGGTTGTGGGAGAGGTATCTGCAGAAGCAGTGCTGCCACCAGGGGCTGGGGCTGTCCTGTCTGACTTCGCGTCCGAGCCGAGCCCACTCGAGCCGCAACCATGTCTGGGAATGAGATGGTTTTTTATCCAACTATGAGTAAGAAGAAAAAGAAGAAGAAGAAGCCTTTTATGTTAGATGAGGAAGGGGATACCCAAACAGAGGAAATTCAGCCTTCAGAAACGAAAGAAGTGGAGCCAGAGGCAACCAAGGACAAGGATCTGGAAGCTGATGAAGAGGACAGCAGGAAAAAAGACGCTTCTGATGATCTAGATGACTTGAACTTCTTTAATCAAAAGAAAAAGAAGAAAAAAACTTTGATATTGATGAAGATGAAGAATGTGTAAAGGATCTTAAGATTGAAAATAATGTTCAAGAACCAGCTGAAGCAGAGGATGACCTTGACATTATGCTTGGCAATAAAAAGAAGAAAAAGAATGTCAAGTTCCCAGATGAGGATGAAATACTAGAGAAAGATGAAGCTCTAGAAGATGAAGACAGCAAAAAAGATGATGGTATCTCATTCAGTAATCAGATAGGCCCTGCTTAGGCAGGCTCAGAAAGAGACTACACATATGAGGAGCTGCTGAATCGAGTGTCAACATCACAAGGGAAAAGTATCAAGACATGGTTGCTGGGGAGAAAAGGAAATTTGTCATGAAACCACCATAGGTTGTCCGAGTCGGAACCAAGAAAACTTCTTTTGTCAACTTTACAGATATCTGTAAACTATTACATCGTCAGCCCAAACATCTCCTTGCAATTTTGTTGGCTGAGCTGGGTACAAGTGGTTCCATAGATGGTAATAACCAACTTGTAATCAAAGGAAGATTCCAACAGAAACAGATAGAAAATGTCTTGAGAAGATATATCAAGGAATGTGTCACTTGTCACACATGCTGATCACAAAATGCCATAGAAGGACACACGATACTATTTCCCACAGTGTGAAACTTGTCATTTTAAATGTTCTGTTGCCAGTATCAAAACCGGCTTCTAGGCTGTCGCGGGTAGCGAGCACAGTTCCATGTCAAAGCTAACTAATTTGCTAATCACTGATTTTGCAAAGCATGTTGTGGAGTTGTGCCCTGACAGGTTTGCCATCAGAGTGGATACACTCAATCTTGTTGTATTAAAAACAAGATAAGGCTGGGTGTGGTGGCTCACACCTGTAATCCCAGCACTTTGGGAGGCAGGCAGATGACCTGAGGTCAGGAGTTCAAGACCAGCCTGGCCAGTATGGTGAAACCCCAATTCTACTAAAAATACAAAAAAAATTAGTTGAACATGGTGGCACACATCTATAATCCCAGCTATTCGGGAGGCTGAGGCAGGATAACTGCTTGAACCTGGGAGGCAGAGGTTGCAGTGAGCCGGGACCACGCCATTGCGCTCCAGTCTGGGCAACAAGAACAAAGCTCCATCTCAAAAAAAAAAAAAAAAAAAAAAAGAAGAAGGGAAAGAGCTGGCAGGTTCTTTGGTGAGTGGTTGCTTGGTCTGAAATTCTTGCAAGACGCTGATGCACACATTGTTGACATATTCATTGCCTCCTTTAACAACTGTCAGAGGAACATGATATGAGGTAAGGAGGTGCTTTTTTAAAATCGTTCATAGACTTCTGTAAAATGCAAGATAAATTAAAGTTATTATAAACAGTGATTCTTTCAAAAAAAATTCCATCAAGCTGAATACCTACCCCAAGTACACTGTTTCTTCATGCATGTTGTATTAAATCAAAGTTTACATTTAAAAAAATTGCTGAGAAGTTTTAAAAGGAGAGTAATGAGAAATAAGTATTAAATTTGTCAATATGGAAGTAATTGTTGGCCTTGGGAGAGGAGTTTCAGTGGAACAGTGGTAAGGAAAAGCTTTACTGGAATGAATTCAAGAGAGAGTAATAGGAGAGAATGTGAAGATAGCAACTATTAAAAATTCAGTTTTGCTTTAAAAAAGAGCAAAGAAATAGGATGTTAGCTGGAAAGGAATGTGAATTCAAAGGAGAGTTTTAACATAGAAGTTGTTAAGGCAAAATTGTATTCTAATGGAAAAGGCTAGCTAAATCATTTATGGGGCTCACAAAAAGAAAATGCAGGACCCCTTGTTCGAAGAACGGAAAGCTTTTTCCTTTCTTCTACGGTCTTTTTTGCCCTAAATGTCATGGCATTTTTTATTTTTTTATTACTTCATGTTTCTGTATTTGTTTTCCATTGCTGCTATAAAAAATTACTGCAAACTTAGTGCTTAAAGCATCAAACCAAATTTTTCTTCCAGTTTTGTAGAAGTTCAACACAGGTCTCACTAGGCTAAGACAAGGTTTGGCAGGGCTACATGTGATTTTGGAGGCACTAGGAGGGAATCCACTTCCTTGCCTTTTTCTAGCTTCTGGAAGCTGCCTACAATCCTTGTGTTGTAGTCCTCTCCCTTCACCTTCAAAGCTAGAAATGGTGGCTTGAGTCCTTTTCACATTGCATCTCTCTGACCCTCTCTTTTGCCCATTCTTCTGCTTTTAATGACTCCTGTAATTTGATCAAGCCCTCCAGGATAATTTAGAATAATCTCCCCATCTCAAGGTTCTCAATCTTAATCACATCTGCAAAGTCCCTTTTGCCATGTAAATGACATATTCACAGATTCCAAGGATTAAAGCATGAATGTCTTCGAAAGCTTGAGGTCTGACTCGGTCAACAGAATAATGGTTCCCCAAAGATGTCCATGATCTAAATCCTTGGAGAGGGAGATGGGACTACAGAAGGATAGTCGAAGAGATGCAACACTGATGGCTGTGAAGTAGCAATAAGGGGGCCATGAGACACTTCAATTTTGTTGACACCTTGATTTTCATCTCATGAGACCTGTACTGAACTTCTGACTTACAGAAGTTTAAGATAAGAAAATTTTGTTTAGGCCACCAAATCTGTGATAATTTGCTATACCAGCAATAGAAAACTACTACGGTCACACTCCTTTGGGTACACTGTCTGCTCCCTGACTTGGCACACACATTGCACATGCCACTCTAACCCTTAAGGAGTCTATACTGAGGCCCACTCTGGAGTTAGAGGGCAGCAGAAGTTGCTGGGCAGGAGAATAGGAAGCCAAGAACCCATCCTGGGGAGGCAGCAAGAGACCGAATCATATGAGAGCCAAGCACACGCTCTGTATTAGTGAGTTCAGGCTATTGTAACAAAATACTATAGATTGAGTGGGTTAAACAACGGATATTTATTCCCCACATTTATTCTTGTCATCCCTAAAGATGGCCATGATCTAAACCCCTGGAGAGGGAGATAGGAGGCTAAGAAATTAAAGATCAAGGTGTGAACCAGTTCGATGTCTGGTGAGGGTCCTTTTCCTGGCTTGCAGATAGCTGCCTTCTTTCATGTCCTCACATGGTAGAGAGGGAAAGATCTGGTCTTCCTTCCTGTCTTTATAAAGACACTAATCTCATCATGGAGACCTCACTCTGATGATCTTATCTAAATCTAATTATTTCCCAAAGGCCCCAATTCCAAATAGCATCACAATGGAGATTAGGGTTTCAATATATGAATTTGGAGTGGGGGGACACATCAGTCTATAGCATGCTTCATTGTCTCATTATACTTTACTTACAAAACACAAATTTAAATATAAAATTATTAAGTGTACAACTACAGTGGTTGAATGCCAGTTAAGTTGATCCTGCTAATGGGAATGATCCAGCAGACTGGGAAAACCAAAAGTAAAAAACAGAGAGAGAGAACAATTCTGAAGTAAAGATAAAGAGTTTGCATCGATGAGAAAGGATGGGATTTGTTTTCTTTTTCTGAGACAGAGTCTTGCTCTTTCACCCAGATTGGAGTGCAGTGGCACGATCTTGGCTCACTGCAACCTCCACCTCCTGGGTTCAAGTGATTCTCCTGCCTCAGTCTCCTGAGTAGCTGGGACTTCAAGCGTGTGCCAACATGCCTGGCTAATTTTTTTTTGTATTTTTAGTAGAGACAGGGTTTCACCATGTTAGCCAAGATGGTCTCAATCTCCTGACCTTGTGATCCGCCCGCCTCGGCCTCCCAAAGTGCTGGAATTACAGGCGTGAGCCACCGCACCTGGCCCAAGTATGGGATTCTATGCAGAAGTAGAAGGGTTGACCTTAAATAGGAGCATTAATGATTTATTTCATGTAATAGGAGAGGAAGCAGAATGTATCTGTACATGTGCTGGTAAATTGTTTGATGTGGTTATGAAAGCAGGTGACAGTCCTCTTCTTATTGCTTCTGTTTACTCATTGGTATTAGAACTTTAATATCTAAAAAGGAAAGGAACAGGAAAAACGAGAGAAAGGAGAGAAAAATATGTAGGTAGTTTTGAATAGAGAAAAAGTATGTAATATTCTTCTAGGAATGTTTATGAAGTGGGTAAATATAGTAAGATTTCTAGAACCCTCATGAGGGTTGGTCAGTTTGAAATGAGACCAGTCAGTCTTTAGCCTCATCTCCGCTGGGAACAGATGCAGAGTAGCCAACAAGTTAGATGTAAGTGTGATGGAATTGTGCCAAGTGAGAACAGTGAAGGAAAAAGGGGCAAGAGTGTTGAAGGTATATGCAAAAGAATGATTACAGTGATGAAACATGGAATCTAAATCATGCAAGGAGCGGAAGTGAGGACATAAAGGAGTAAATAGAGTAAAGATACTAGGGCAATGGATTGGAGACCTAGTGGTCTCAAAGAATTGCTGAGGTTGGGGTATCAGAGACTGAGCTGGAAAGATAATTACAGTGAAATGATCAAATGGAGTCTGGACAGTTAGGAATTCTAGAGTTCTGGCTGTGCTCTGTGAATTCATTCACTTCTGGGGAAGTTTGGTGCCATCTGATGGCAGTTTTCAATATTGGCCTAAATATTGGGTTATATTCTGGCCTCTGATTTGCTTGGACTTTCAGAAAGCAGAAGTTATCCGGGAATTTCCCAGTTACCTTGGTATCCATTTCAGCAGCCCCATTTAGGATTTGGATTAGGATTTGGGGGAACAAACCCTCTGCCTCCCTGTTTTTCAAAGAGTTATCTGCTGTTTGTTCACCTGGCCTTACTTTCTTCTCTGTATCCCCTACCCCACAGAAGATAGCTCATATACATTTGAGAATGGGTATTGAGTCAAAAACCAGAGCCAACAGTCAATTAGATAATATCTAGATTCAAGTTACTAAAGTGTTTCTTATCCCAAGGCAGTATTGTATTTTAAGTCACAAACCTAATAAAAATGGTACAGAAGAGTTCTGAGAACTGAATACCGGAGCCCATCAATGTGTACAGGTTCAGGACATGAGGAGAAACTAGCAAAGGAAAAAGACATAGAGACCAATAAGGTAGGAGAAAAACTAAGGAAACAGGATATCCTGAAAACCAAGTGAAGAAAGTGACTCTAGAAGAAGGAAGTGATCAGCTGTGTCAAATTTTGCTGCTAGGTCTAGTAAGATGAAAAATAAGAACTAACCATCGGTTTTAGCAAGATAAAAACTAATTTTGATAGGGTTGTGGAGCAAAAGCCTCAATGGGGAGGGTTAAGAGAGAATAGGAGGATGAGAAGCGGAGGCATTAAATCCATACGGTATAAGTCTTTTGAGTTTTGCTGTGGAGAGCAATGAAATGGGATGATAGCTAGCAGAGGAAATGGAGTTGAGTTTTTTTAAAGATGAGAGTGATAATATCACATGTATATACCGAAGGAAATGACCAAGTAGAAAGGCAAATGTTGATGTAGAAGAGGAAAATAAGAATTACTAAAGTAATACCTTTGAGTAGGCAAGAAGGAATGGATTCTGTGAGACACAGAAGTGGAGGATTTGGTCTTATGTCAGAAAAACGGACTGTTATCTACAAATAACAGCAGGTAAGCAGAGTATAAAGGTGTAGATACTAATAGGTAGAAAGAGGTCGTAATGAGAGTTTGTGAATGTTCTATTCTGATTGCTTCGATTTTTCTCTTTTCTTTAGAATCTCCTGAGTTATACAACTTGAGGAAGGGAGCCATTGGTACATGTTAATTTCCATTTTTTAAATCAAGAATCTGTTTTCTTCCTAGCATTTATCACTACTGTAAAAAACATGCCTATTTCTCCTTGTTGTTACATGTAAATCCTATTGGAATGGTAACTCTTGAGCAAGAATACT